CCCAGTAAACTTTTAGGTGGCCATCAGATCGCCCCTGAGCCTGCGCTTTTCCAGGCTGAAGAGTCCCATAGCTCTCAGCCTCTCTTCATAAGGTCTGTTTTCCTGACCTCTGATCATGCACGTGTCTCTCCTCTGCACTCTCTCAAGCTTCTCTACATCCTTTTTGAATTGTGGAGCCCAAAACTGGATGCAGTACTCCAGCTGCGGCCTCACCAAGGCCGAGTACAATGGGAGAATGATGTCCTGGGATTTGCTTGAGAAGCATCTATGGATGCAAGCTGGCTTTTTTCTCACTTTACTAGCTGCAGCATCACATTGAAGGCTCATGTTCATCTTGTGGTCAATCCTGACCCCCTAGTCCCTCTCGTCCATAGTGCTAGTCAGTGTAGCACTGCCGAGCCTATAGACATTCTGCAGGTTTTTCCTCCCAAGCTGGAGAACCTTGCATTTTTCGGTGTTAAACACCATCAGGTTCTCGTCTGTCCATTTCCTGAGTCTGTCAAGGTCAGCCTGGATTACCCCCCTGTCCTCAGGTGTAGATGCTTTACTCCGAAGTTTGGTATCATCGGCGAACTTGGCCAGTCCACTTCTGACTCCAATGTCCACATCATTAATGAAGAGGTTGAACAAAATAGGTCCAAGGACAGAGCCTTGAGGGACCCCACTGGTCACAGGGCACCATGACGATTGACTTCTGTCAACCACTACCCTTTTGAGCTATTCTGTTTTCTTTTAATTCTCCCCATATCCCCCATCTAATTTTTTATTTGTTTACCATGTAAATAATATCATATAGACAATAGGGCTGTGCAAAATTTCACCAGGTGTTTCATTTCGATGTTGTTTCAACTCATTTTGAGCTCAAAACAGTGAAATCGAAATAAAACAAAAGTCTTCAAAACAGCCTCGAAATGAAACGAGGGCACTCAGAACATTTCAAAAGTTTTGAAATGTTTCAAGTTTGGAAGCTGGGCTTCCTTGCAAGGAAACAGAATCTAAGGAGAAGGAAGGGGAAAAAAGGGGGAAGGACTGCTCTGATATTGACTGTGTAGCAGCCCGGTGACTGTGATCCTTCTCTGAGGTCCCTTCCTATCCCAGTGTTCTGGGGGAGAGTCGGAAAAAAGTAGGGGGTGCACAGGGGTGCACATACACTCCCTGAGAGCACTGGTGCACCCCCTGACTAGCCACGCTCACCACTGGGGCAATGGGTGGGGGCGGACAGGCAGGAGTGCTGGTGTCCCATCTGCAAGCACCGGCCAATTGCTGCAGCTGGTCCCAGAAGTGGCCACAGCCACTCGGGCAGCAAAATTGGCTGTGGGGGACCCCCCCCAGTTGGTAATATTGGCTGTGGGGGCCACCCCCGAGCAGCGAGATTGGCTGTGAGGGGATTCTGCCCACCCCGTTTGGTGGGACTGGTCTAAGGGGGGGCATATGGCCCCCCTGACTAAGGTGGCACCAGTCGCCCATGATTTTTACTGACTGGCTTTCTTGTTTGCATTGCATGCCAGGCCAGCCTCTGGCTTCTTTATTCCTTCCATCCAGGAACAGCATACACACCAACTGCAGGTGCTTCCTCAGCCTGACAAAGGGTTTTTCAACCCAAAAGTTTGCTAAGATATATTTCTTCAGCTATTCAGTTGGTCTACTACAAGATACCAGACTGACCCAAAGAACCTTGTCTGCCAGTGCCATGTCCTTAGACCAACACGGCTACAACCTACACCCCTAGCACCTGTCCCTAGTCAGTTGACCGGAAGGACACAGGGCCCTGGGCACATCTAAGCCCCAGGGCTGGGGCTGGCAGGGAGAGTTCTCTGGCAGCTGCTGGAGAAGAAGCTCCTGCAGGAAAGGAAAGAAAGGCTCTAGTCTGTGACAGTTTGGCTGTCTGAGATGCTAGTGCCACTGTGCTGCTTACTTACCTGTTGTAATTTAAAGTGGTGGACTGAGATGAGGCTGTAGGGGAGGAGGAGACATAATTGGGGCATGCTACTGTGCTGTATAGAGGCCCCAGCTCCAGTGAGGGTGGACCATAACACACACACACAGTCACATGTCACAAGTATTGCTTATCAGCAGCTTGAGGTGCAGTTTCCTAGAAATCCCTTCACCTATCTCCTTGAAACTTGGTAGGCTTCATGGCCTTAACAGGGGCTACCATGCTGTTTTCACCCTGTTGTGCCTTAACACACAACCGACATAAGTTTTGCTTGTCAGCACCTTGAGGTGCAGTTTCCCAGAAACCCCTACACCTATCTCCTTGAAACATGACAGGCTTTATGGCCTCAGCAGGGGCTACCCTTCCTGCTGTTTTTATTTAAATATGGCATGAAATGACAAAGTTATAAGCATTTTTGTGATTCCCCATTATAGCCTATGGGCGAAATGTCAAAACGTGTCAAAACAGTGAAACAGTTTCGTTGAAATGGAATGGAACAGTGCTTTGAAATGAAAAAGATGAAATGAAACACCGGCCCTTTGAAATGGAAAACCAGAAGTCGAAATGAAACAGCGCTGTTTTACATAGCCCTAATAGACACCTCTCAGGACAGCTCATAAGCCCATGTTAAAAGCTCTTATAGCACTAATTAGCTTAGCGCCACCAACTCCATGATTAGCAAGGTTGACTTCCTGCTGCTGAGGATCTGGATCCCCGACTACCATACTGCTTAGATATGGAAAACTTTATTTCACCATAGTAAAATAATGCCTTATGCATTACCCATACAGCGTCCTCCTCCCTAGAACAATAACCAAAAGAAACATAGACAGACAGACCACACCATCTAATGGAAAACACTGAAACTAAAGTGTGCTTTTAAAAAAACCCTCACCATTGCAGGATCCCCAGTAACTGTAAGCTCAGGAATGTATCATTTCCTTGTTTTTCACTAACACATGATATGTTATTTTACTCATCAGGGGTTGATTTTTCAAACCAGGTTGCAGAATGTGCACATAGAAAGTCTATTATTTATTAACAGGCTGTGTGCACCTATATGCCTTGACACAAACTAGGCTTGGAAACATCCTGTACTCTTTACACTTAATTACGATAAGGAGTTTGCCACAAGCATAATAACCCTGCTGTTACACTTAAGGCGACCCTTGCAAATATGTATTTATGTAAGTTGTTGCTCATTTGGATAGCTGCAGCCTGCAAGAGATCAACATTTGCTGTCGCAAAGATACTAAGGCACAGCAGTTTAACAGCATTACTCTAGCAAACTGCAGTACTTTACAGACAGTCTGCTCTCATTGTCATTGGTACAAATCCTAAATTACTTCAGTAAACGCTGAGTTACTTCAGATTTATAATTATGTATGGAGAGCACGAACATCCCAAAATCACAAACAGCAGGGACAAATTATACCATCAGTTCCTCTTACACTAATAGGATTTCTGGGAAGTTTATTAAAACTGACCATATGGTCATCTGTTTTATTGGAATGAATAGTGTGATCCAGCTGTAAGGATGCAATCCTGTTCACTTAACATGGAAAATTTTAAATGTAGGTACTTTAAAATTAATCAAGCAGTTTGAACATGGGCACATTTGCAATATGCTTTGGCAATATAGCCAGTTCAAATCAGCTGATGAATCTATACAATGTAAAGTTAGATGTTATACTTAGACCATACTTATTCCGTGGAATGCTAAACCACATTGAAGTTAGAACGTACTGTGAGGTGTCACATGTTAAGGGTTAATAACATTTTTTGCCTACACAGCTCTGACTTGTCACTGGACAGCCAGTGAGCAGAGGTGTGGCTAGGAGCCAGGACACCTGAGCTCCAGTCCTGCTTTTGGTGTGGGGACTGGGACCAGTGTATCCTGGGATGCTAGAGGACTGGAACTTGCTCAGTTTATTTCTGTGGAACAGACTGAAGTTACTTTAACATGAGCATGGCCCAGAGGTAACCCTTGCCTGAACTATGAGATGCTCAGAGGGCACTTAGCACAGGTTAACAAGTTTTACATGTGGATGCTCACATTTTAAGTGTCCTTAGTGTGGTCTAAGTGTAATGTGTAACTTCATCCTATCTTTGCCTTTTAAGATCCTGAGGCAATTAGGCTTGGTCT